TTTTTTTTTTGCATGAAACCATACAAAGAAAAATATTGAAATTATTTATGCTTATTTCATTGTTTACAGTTGTTTTGCATGTTGTGCATATTCAGAAAACGCTCGGCTGAGAAGAATGTGATGTGAATTCCAGCCTAATTGATTGATAAATCATGTCGTTTTCTGTAATGAGCACAAGATGTTTGAGGGAGCGGTGGTGTATAAATGCAGCAGTGCTCTACACAGACAGCAGACAGCATGCTGGCTCGCACACTGCTTCTGCTTCTGCTTCTGCTGCTGGAGGCGACGGTGACGGAGCTCTGGGCTCAGCCGTACCCCATCCCACCCACCTGTTACTCCAAAGTGCTGGCCATGGGGAAAGAGATCACCCAGGGAGCGGCCCAAATCAAAACAGACCACGACACTGTAAGTCCAACACACTGAGCTGAGGTGAGCACAACAACAAAACACTGATGCTTTACTGTCATGTGTTTTATGTTGCAGCACAGATGCACAGCGCACCTGCCCGATCTCTACATCGACGTGCACGTGAGTAACTACCTGCCAGTCATGCATTCAGCACTTAAGAGACAAAGCTTGCTTGCAGTGTGAAATAATGTTGAAATTCAAATTTCAGGCAAAAAAGGTAATGCATACTTTTAGGACCAATTATTTGCATTGTGGCATTGATTTTATGACTGCTGAGTACATTCCGGTCACCTCATTATTTGTCTGCTAAAAAAGATGTTGACTGCCTGGTATTGTCATTCGTGTTTTCTATGACAGAACGCTTGTGTAATGTCCAGTATGAACTCGTATCTGTCTCTGCTGGACGGTCTGAGAGAACGGAGATGTGCGTACACCAGGAAAGTGCAGAGTCTGCGTGCTGTGATCAGACAGCTCTATATCATCATGTCACAGAAATGTCACGGGGTAGGTCAATGCATGCATTTAAATGTTATTTATTTATTGTCTGTCAATAGGAACCAAGTTGAAACCTTTGCTTGTGCATGCTTTAATTGGGTGCCTGTTTCATTAAAGGGCTGTTTGTGTGTTTCAGGACTTGGTTTTTACTCGTGATAACTGCGAAGCATTACAGCACAGAGGATGAGAGGCTGAAATCACTTCAGACTTCGCTGGACTGAGTTTAGAGAATGATTGCACGAAGATCATAAAGAGCACATTACTCCTCATATGTTATATTAATTTTTTTTTTTTTCATGATTTCAATTTTTATCAACGCATGCTGGTTGGTTATGCCAAATGGACTTTGATTTAATGTACAGAATTTTTCAAATCTGAGCAATATTTCAAAAATAAATTCTTAAAAAAAAAATACTTTTAAAAACATAGAATATATGAATTTATGAACATTTTTGAATACCTTACTAGATAAAATAGATTTTACATAGGTGTATTTTTCACAGGCATATCAAATATTTCACTTACTAACTTTTTAAATGTTTATTGTTTTAAATATATATATTTTTTAACTCAACATATGCATTTTTTTGTGTAATATTGACGTGTTTTCTAATAAATAAGTGTACCACTAGATGGGGGTTGTGTTCAACAGTTGTTGTTTTTTTACTTTTAAACTTTTTCTGTGCGTCTCGACTAGATTAATAATATATATATATTAAATACAACCATTAAGATTCATTAAAATTCAGTACGATGGTTTGTTATTATAATTGCTTGCAGCTCATGTAGTTCTGACGCGTGTGTAGGCTTTAAAAACTACAAATCCCATGTGTGTGCAGCTGCGTGCAGTGGGCGTGGCTCCGAGTCTCTCACTCGCGACAGGTGAACACGGGTGCTTCAGTCGCCTCTGACAGCGGACGCTTGCTCGTGGATGGAGGGGAATACGTCTGTCACAGTTTGATGTGATTTTATTTCTTTAAATGATGAAGGTGTCTACTTGCGTGGAGTGTTGGACAGTTTAGTTAACTAATTTCATCGACTACATCATCTGTATTTTTAGCATTTGCTGTCTCTATTATTTAAAATGGCTTTTGCAAAATTCAGCAAGATCCTCCGACTTCCTACGATTGAAGTGAAGAAGAAAACCAAACAATATGAGCACGTTCATCGGGATGTAAATCCAAACGACATTTGGGAAATTATCGGGGAACTGGGCGATGGCGCTTTCGGAAAAGTTTATAAGGTGAGTTCGGATCTTAATAAACTTGTTGGACAGACAGCGAAACGAAACTACGACTTCTACCACGGCAAAGGAATAGGTCATGAATAATGGTTTATACTAATGACCTTAATTAATATTCATGAACCAAGCCTCTTCCAGATTCGCTGTCGCTTACAAGCCGCGGTCTTCCAGCCAATCAGTGAGGCCCGCTTGGTGAACGTCATTTGCGTAATTAATATTCATAGGCAAAGCCTTGAGCGTAGTAGGGTTTTAAAAAGTTTTAAGAATTGGCTACTACCTGTTTAGTTATGACAGTTAGCATTCATAACAAAAACATATAATATTTACAAATACAAAGAATCGTCTTCTTATTGACTCTGATGTACTCTAAATGTAATCTAAAACACACACACAACACAAAACAAATTATCATTAATGTTTTTTCTGTCTTAGAACTCATTTACATTTATAAAAAAGTGTATATATTTAAGATATAAAAAACCCTATGACCCGATCAAGAGATAACACTTGTGCACACTTGACTAAATGAATGCAGCTCAGTATTTCGTGTAGTAACATGCGTGCTGGTGATACGCATTGACTTGACATGATGTAAATCATCTTGACTAGCTGTTTAAATATACTAGGATGGATAACTGCGGTTAATGGCACTGAGATATCCTGACAGGTCACATGCGTTCAGCCCGGGGCCCTCAGGGGCCACTCAGAGTCACTGTGTAGGAAGATGCTGGAATGTGCTGCAGTTTCAGAGAGATGGAGAGGAACCCTGCTGTACGAAACGCTGAAATTGCCTTTTGTTGTGAACTATGGGGGCGTTTCGAATGCCCCGTGACATCCAGGGTCCTCAGGCTGACTGGGTTTAAATGCTGTACAACCTTAATAACCTCTACAGTAATACTGTAATGGGTCAAATCTCATGAAAACATGCCCTGGTCATTTCTCCCTCCAAAATGAAAAATAAATAAATAAATCCATACAAATAAAATTGCATAACTTAATTTTTGAGACCATAAAGTTTGTAAAAATATTATTTTAGCATGCATCTCTGAGCATTCTCAATATTGTAATCAACACATTTTTTTATTTTGACTTTGTTTGAAATTCTCTGAAAGAGTAAGCAACTCTCATTTATCTCTCTTTTTTAAAGTTTATTTATTTTTTATCAAGAATATTACCATCATTTCTAAATACATTTGCACAAACACTTAAAATTTAATTAAAAGTGTAATGCTGAAAACACAATATTTACTTATTTAAACAATATTTTGTTTTTATTTTTGCTCTGCCACAAAATAATTCCATAAGAAGTGATTGCAAGATATAATGTGTGGCCTGTTTACTCGGTTTGAAAATTTATTGCATTTGATTTGTGTTTTGATGTCTTTTAAAAATACACAAAACATATTTAGGCCTATTCATAAAGTTCAAATTGGGGTGAAAATATTTGCAAATATGTGAATTCCATGTGAAATCTGGCCATGATTCGACCCAATTCAATTCAGTTATATTTAAGATTTATATATTTGAATTGCATATCTTTTTTAATTTCGCAGTATTAAGATAAACTAATAAACTTAATGTGAGGCATATTTGTAAGTCATACAGTACAAACAGGTCAGATTTCCGCACTTAGGCATAGTTTATTATTAACTATTTGCATCTATTTAATTTAATGTAAACAATCATATTCAAAATGCATTTATTCAGATTGCTTATAATCTGTTCAATGTGAAAATAATGAAAATTATCCAAGCATGAACATGGCTAAAATATGTCCGGCTTTGCAACAAACAATATTCAGTTAGTTTTTAATGTATGGGATTGATGATAAATGTATACACCTGGTTGCTGTGTATTTAAAACCCATTCCGTTTATTACTACTATAACAGAAATTGTACATATTTCTTTGCTGTTTAGCTGACACATATGCGTCACATTAAGATTATAAACTGTGTAATCATTGCATAAATCATCAACAAAATAACTGAATTGAATTCAGTCAAATCATGCCCAGATTTCACATGCACCACATCATTTATTAAGGAATGCAAATATATACACCTCAAATATTTTCCAAATGTATTTATTTCTCATGGAGCTGGTTGCAGTTCAGTTGGATTGTCTCTCTCTCTGACGGTGTTTTGTCCTCTTGTTAGTTAATGCTGGGTAACTCTTTGATTGTTAATTATTGATGGAGAACACATGAAAGCACACGGCTGCAGTGTGTGACGATGATCATGTAGTGCTTGTGAAGTTTGCTTGAGCTCGGCTAATCACCAGCGTTCAGAACGATAAGAGCGTCTTCGCTGTGGGTGGAGATCAACATATTCTGCATATTAGATCCACAGCATTAGGATCTGGTTTAGGCCTCATTGTTTCAGTCCATCATTATTTGTAGCTTTGCAATTGCCACCCAGTTCATTGAAACCATTTAAGCCATTGATTGAACTTTAAGACAGAGAGATAATCAAGTATTTGTGTTTGTCATGCTATTCTTGACAAACGGTTTTGTTTGGTCATTCAGTTTTATCAAAGTGGCACTATTCATCATAATAAACTCCAAGTCCAAGGCTTAACTTTTGTTTAAAGCTAATGTTGTTTTAGGCACAAGGTTACTAACTAACTTAATAACTTTAAACTCACCCAACAGTATTTCTTTACTTGAGTTAGAGCTTTTTTAAATATAGATTTTGGCCAGTTATGCTACATAACGTTTTTTTTTTAATACTAATTTTCTGTAACATTCCTTTTTAGGAGTATGTTTTAGAAGAATTACTATTTCAGTCTTTTTACTTAAATATTTCAAGTTGGACTCAATTACTAGCCATTTCTTTGTAATTATTTGTGACCCTGGAGCACAAAAGCAGTCATAAGTCGCTGGGGTATATTTGTAGCAATAGCCAACAATACATTGTATGGGTCAAAATTATCCATTTTTCTTTTATGCCAAAAATCATTAGGATATTAAGTAAAGATCATGTTCCTTGAAGATATTTTGTAAATGTCCTACCGTAAATATATCAAAACTTAATTTTTGATTAGTAATATGCATTGCTAAGAACTTCATTTGGACAACTTTAAAGATGATTTTGATCAATTGATCTTTTCTTTATTTAAAGTTTGTGGAGTTATGACATGTTTTGCTGTCATCATTCATAAAGCCACACATGGATCCATTGTTATGAGTGTTGCCATAATAACACATCGTTTCCAAGAATGAGTTATCATTTCATAATTATGGTAATTCTGACACAATCTGATGACTAGTTGACTTGTGTAAGCCCTACCTGCTAATAAAACCGGCTTTTGGAATAACGAAATGGAAAAACACAATAAAAGTAAGATTTATCTGCTGAAAGATAGCTGCTTTCCTGAAGGTGTGCTCGCACTAGATGTAAACAGAGGTGTATTCTTTTTATGGATGTGATGAAATAGCCATTACACTGGGTTGAAAGTACACGATCCTGCTGTTATTGAGGGTTTAAGGTGGCCCTGCAGGATATTTAGCTTGACCTCTGCTCGATCTCCTTGAGCAGGTGCTGTAATCCTCTCAATGGAAATGTAAGTGGATTTCAGGCTTTATTTATGGTTATGCTTCTATGAGGCTAGGAGTGTTTTTGATATATGTCAGCTGTACTGTACTGTACAAACACTAGTGATGTTCAGATCTTCAGTCTCTCTCCCGTCTGTTTGTCCAACCAGTGACAGACGATCAGAGAACAACCAGAAAACTAGCTGGTCAAATACTTGATACTAAAATGGCCAAATACTTGATTTTTTAAAAATATATCCATTCTTTACTGACCTCATTTAAAAAAAAATTCCTTTACAAATGGCATCATGTATCTTAATATTGCCCGCATTCATCTTTTGGCCATGTGTTTTTTAGTCACAGAGTGTGCGATATTGACAAATCTATTTTTTCGATAATGATAACTAAACGATATTTTGCTGAGTGTGTTTTGCTGATACTTTGCCTGGTTAAGGTCTGCCATGGATAAATAAATTAAAGCAATAAGCCCCAAGAAGCCGTGGTTTACAGTGAATTTATAACAGCTAAGGGGCGTTGTTAGGTATGACGCGAAGCAAAGTTATATCCATATACGTAGTAAGGTTTCACAAAATAAAACGGAGCAAATAAAGTGTAATGATGTTAATAAAAACAGTATTCTTCCACCAAACAATGTAGTTCCTCAGAATCAGTTGTGGTTGCAACAAAGTGGTTGCCGAGCAACACACAAACGCAAACAAAGGTGTATGTTACTTTGTAGAGTAAACAGCTTAGAACGCGGCTCAGCCAATCAGAATCAAGGACCGGAACTCTCCGTTTTATAAATGACATTAAAACCTTAATGAGTGATTCATTGAATCATTCATTCAAACAGTTCATTCAAACCAGCTGATTCATTTAGAAACGAAGCAAGTGACTGTCTTTATGAATGGATCATTGAATCATTGACTCCAATGATTTGTTCAAAAGCAGATCATTCACCGCTGTGCTGCTCTGAGATGCACAGATGCTCTGCTCCGGCTTTGTTTGGAACCATTTTCATTAGCCAAGAAGAAAAAAATAACACCGTATTGTGTCTAAAATGTAACTCACTCAACATTAACTTTTTGTTTGCTGAATTGTATAAAATCAATACAACTTTTGCGATTGTGCTGATATTCAGGAAAACATCACTTTTGCTTGTGTGGCATATCTTATAAATATAAAAAACTAAATCCATACAGAGATGTTTTTTGCTTTATAGAAACATTCAAACGTAATTCTAATAGGTTTCATCAGGCAGTCAATGCTTATGGTCTCTGACTGTTTGTTTTTTGAGTGACGTACTCCATAATGTTTCTTTTCCCGTTGTTTCATTGAACGGAGGTTAAGACAGACGTAAGTTAGTCGTGTTTACTAGGTCAAGCATCACATCAGCGTGTGATTCATTTGCACAGTTTGACTCCTCCGCATGACCCTAGCAACCACACAAACACCCAAGCAACCGCATAGCAATGTCATGGCAACCACTGACAATACACTAACGTTGTTTTAAAAAATTTTCCCCCCTATTTTGTATAAAACTAAATTAGTCCTCTCAACCTGTTCTACTTTCATTCTCTTCTGTGTTACATTTTATCACAGTTAAACGTATACAAGCCTTACTGTCTGTTAGTTGTGCCAAATCATGTCTGCTTTAAGTTGATTTTTTATGACAAAAGCTGAAGTCTTGTTTTTGAGTGGTTTGGCAACACAGTTTCCTCTAAAAACATCTAACCACAATGACCGACACCACCTCGATTAATGCTGTGTACTAACACATGTTTCTCAAATCTCACACGTGAAGACTGCTTCTGTTTGACTATATACCTTTATTTAGTTATTTATAGTTTACATTGGAAATGCATAAAAAATTCTGAAAATATGGGTTGCTTGGGCTGAAATGTCAGTGTAAAAAAATTAGTAATATCTGGAAAAAAGGTAACAAAGCTGCTTCGCTGCTCATCAGTATTTGAAAAATTGAATCAAAAGGTCTTTAGGTCTTTGGTGTGACAAAAATGCAAAAAAAAATTTAATAAATAAGGTAATTACATTTTTATGACAAAGCTAGGTTTGTTCATGGGTCAAAGATGTTAAGTTGTCCTCATCAAAAGAAATGTACAAAAGTGATTTTATGTCCATAGAAAGCACATTAAATGTAAGTAAAGTGTCTACTTTTAAGGTTTCAAATTAGTTTTTGGAGAATAAAATGTCAAAATTTGGTTGAAGTAATGTTTCATTGTCATTCAGTGTAACACGATATTTATGTAAAAATTCAAACAACATGCTTATTCTGACGTGTACATATTAAAATATATAAAAGAATAAGGGAGCATATAAAATTTTATTGGGTTTTAAATGAGTAAAAAAAATATTACTGACAAATGGGCGAAACCTAGGATAGTGGCACATTTAAAAATTGTAAAATTACAACTAGTTAGTATTTGGGGTGAAAGTAATTAGTCTTTTAATATGTCATAAACTGAACAATTACATTAAACAGAAAACTTTTTAATTTAAAAAAAAAAAATTGGGGGAAAAATAACAATTTAAAGCAGTATTGTTTTTAATGCTTAAACCCTTTTTCGTCTTTGACCCTCATGTTTTAAAATATTGTGGTTTGACTCCTCAAAAAATGGATAACTATTATAAATGAAATATACATTATATTTGTAATTTATAACTATGAAATAATGTTTTTTTTAATTTGTAAAAAAATTACATTGAGACATTTTTTTAACTTTTGAAAATGATGAATACAATTATTTATTATTATTATTATAGATATGTGCACCCACACGCACATTTATTCAAGAAAGTAAAAAAATAAAATAAAATATGTGATTACTTTTTACTTGATGGTTACATCTCTTTTTAAGATTCATTAAACTGAGACGTTTGGTATAAACGTTTTTCAAAAACATTAAACCAAAATAAAATAGAAGAATACAGATAAAATACATATAAAACATGGAATCTTAGAAAAGTACAACCAAAAGAACTTGACACATTATTTTAAAGTATTTTTTTTTTATTACCTGTATCATTAACACTCTTACTTGCATTGATTTATTGATGCATGTTATTAAAAAAAAATACATCAAAATATTAAATTACTTTCCTATTTTTTTCCCCAATCCTTTCCATTCAAACACCCATCAAACCTTTATCAATGTGCAGTAAAACAGCAGTAATGCTCATTATTTGAGCTCTAACGGAGAACTAAAGCTGAATCGCAGAGGCCTGGTGAAATAACCGCACCGAAGGGACGAGCATGAAACGGGAATATCAGCGGGATGTAATCATGTGAATCACACTGACTTTGTTTTGATGCGAAGCTGCTTTGTGTTTCAGGCCCAGAATAAAGAAACCGGTGCACTAGCTGCAGCCAAAGTCATCGAAACCAAAAGTGAAGAGGAGCTGGAGGACTACATGGTGGAGATCGACATCTTAGCGTCCTGCAACCATCAGTACATCGTCAAACTGCTCGATGCCTTCTTCTACGACAACAATCTGTCGGTAAGATGGTTAAACGGAGCAAACTGAGCTTTCGTGAACACTACAAGGTGTGACATAGTTTCTGAATTGCTCAGCGAGTTTAAATTAATCATCTTTGGAGACGTCATACACACACACCCTCATCGGGTCATTCAGTGTTAACTCAACCAGTGAAAGAAATACATAAATGAAGAAGAAAGCCGAAATATTAAATGTCATGGATGAATATTTACGGAGTTATTCATCTGACTTTAGAAGGATGGCAGCATCATCATTTTTACACAGAGATTTATAGGTTTATTATTAAAATCTAAAATGATATTAAGATATATTTAATACTTCTTGAGTTACAGACATGCAAACTTTGGAAAAAAACAGTCTTAAAGTGCTTTTTCCTCATTTCTTGAACTGTCACCATTAACATATAATGCAACAAAGGTGGCTAAAGTCAACAGATTTTACTAATAGACCCAATATTTGTGTTAAAATAACATAATGATGCTGCCGTCTTTCTGAAGTCATTTTTACCCTCCTGTGAAAATTGTCATTTTGACACCCCTCTACAAAATAGTGCATTACTTAGTAGATATACATCCATGATTAAAAAAAATTAAGGTAACACTTTAGAATAGGGAACACTTATTCACTATTAACTACAACTTTTCCCTCAATAAAGTCCTAATTTGCTGCTTATTAATAGTTAGTAAGGTAGTTGTTAAGTTTAGGTATTGGGTAGAATTAGGGATGTAGAATAAAGCATTAATATGTGCTTAATTAGTACTAATAAATGGCTAATATTCTAGTAATATGCATGCTAATAAGCAACTAAGAGACCCTAAAATAAAGTGTTACCAAATTTAATATTTTGGCTTTCATCTGCATTTATGTTTGTCTTTCTTCATAAAAAAAAAAGTTTCTGAATTTGGGTGTTTTTGCCAGAGAATGTGTTTTAACCTTTCCTCGACCTGACCGATAATTTGCAGGTTTGACAGCTTTCCAAATAAGAGCACACAAACTTCCTTCTAGCATCAAATATTAAGCTCTACATTAACCATATTGTACATGCATAGTGTGTATCGTTTGTCGAAAATTGAATGCGGTCGGTTGGCTTATAAAATTCTGTTGTTACTCTTATTAATAACTGAACGGTGCATGAATGTAACCATATTTACCTGATTTCTGATGTGTGTCTGATGAAGACTTCCTTTTCAACAAACCTCAAATACTAAACATTGGGATGCAGTGCTGGGTAGTAACTAATTACATGTAATCTGGATTACGTAATCAGATTGCAAAAAAAAAAAGTACTTGGAATTAGATTATATTTAGTGCTGTCAAACGATTAATCGCGATAAATAAACAAAAAATAAACGTTTTTGTTTGCATAATATATGTGTGTGTGCTGTGTATATTTATTATGTATACACGTGCATGTATACATTTAAGAAAAATATGTTATCTTAATATATTTATATATACGAATATAAATATATAAATGTATATGCATGTAAATATTTCCAAAATATATGCTGTATGTGTGTGTATTTATATATACATAATAAATATACACGCGCACACACACACACATATATAAACAAAAACTTTTATTTTGGATGCGATTAATCGCGATTAATCGTTTGACAGCACTAATTATATTACATTTTAAAATACTTGTAATCAGATTACAGTTACTTTTTTGTTGATTACATGATTACATATTGTTCAAACAATTTAATTTTTTTCTAAAATAACCTACTGCTTACTGCTTCTATACATTCATAAAGTCTTCCAGTTTTGTGGACATTGACACGAAGACCCGTCACTAGTCAGATGACTTAATTACACAGAAAATTGAGACACCGCACGGCATTTGACCACTGGATTTACTGAAATCATTGCCATTTTAAGAAGTGTTTTCTCAACATTTCAACATTCCATCAACTACTAACAAACACATTAATTAGAATTTTCACTCAGTAGGTTATTTAACCATGTATTACTTTGCCTTTGGAAGGCTTTTGTCTTTCAAACACATTAAAATGCACAAATTCACATTATTTAGTAGGGATTCCCAACTTTTTGTCAGCCGAACCTCTTTCACCTTATATATTTACTTTAAGGTTGATTTTAAGGTAATCAATTCATAATTAATGAACACATTTGCATGTCAATGATTCTCTGACATTGGTTAATAGTCACATGACATGCAGGTAAACAAGTAAAATATTTCATCTTTTTTTTAGTAAGTGTTTTATTTTGATTGTTGTTCTTTTAAAAGTATTTATTTTAATTTAAAATTATGATTTAATTAATTATTCGTTTTTTCATTAAACTCTCAAACCCCCTGCAGGCCCTTCGTAAACCCCAGTTTGGGAAATCTTGACATAATATAATGTGTAATGTTGTTAATAACAACGAATGAAATGTATCTTCTTTCTCTTTGTATTTTTATATCAATATAGTACAAGATTATTCTGACCTAAATTAATGTGATAAACGAGGTAGGTCAAAAGTAATCTAAAAGTAATCAAAAAGTAGTCTGATTATATTACTTAAAATGTGTAATAGATTACGGTACTAATCGTACTGAAATCGGAAATGGACTACAATTAGTAAGTAATCTACCCAGCGCCGTTGGTCCATAACTGGGCTGTGGACATGAATGAAACCCCAGATTTTATTTTATTTTATTATTTTGTAAAAAAAAAATTTTTTACATTTAAAAAAAAAAAAAAAATATTTTTTTTTGTTTTATTATTTTATTTTATTTTATTTAATTTTTTGCAAGGAGAATCCCATTGAGACTTCACAGTCTCTTCTTCCAGGGAGACCTCGTCAAGACGGCAGCACATAAAGTTGCACACAAAACCAACTACAAAACAAAATACTCGTACAAAACAATTGATAAAAGTAAGATCAAGCGAAACATGTACAAGACTCCTTTAAAACAGTTTGCAAAAGCCATTTAAAAGTACCCAGGGATGGCAATGATTCTAATTTAATTAGATAAGGGCATAAAAGGAAAAAGCACATTTTCCAAATTCCGAAACTTTTAAACGAATGAACGATTGAGATCGAATACAGTAACTATTTATGTAAAGAATTAGGAGATTTGAAATATAAGAAGGCAACTTACCTAAAAGTGCCTTAACAGTAAACATATACATGTGCAATTTCCTCCTATGATGTAAAGACCATGCCAATGATTCGTAAAGTATACAATGATGGGTACGTGAATCTGCACCATAAACAAAGCGTAACGCTGCATGATAGACAGAGTCCAGTTTCCTTAATATAGATGAAGATGCAGCATATATACTAGGTCACCATAATCAATTACAGATAAAAAAAAGTACTCTCCACTAGTTCGTTCTTGCCTCATAAGGAAAGCAGTTTTTTAAACGATAAAAGAACCCCGATTTTGGTTTAAGCTTCTTCAGCAGATTATCAATGTGTAAAAGCCAATGGAAAATCCTATTAGGTAACTTCCAGGTTGGTCTACAAAAAATATGTCATAACCGCAGTGCTCTGCTGATTTATACATTGCTTTTAAGCTGCAAATGTTTGATCGGTTAGTAATAGAGCTGTAATAGAAAAGTTTATAATTAGCGTTGACGCATGTCAAATTTGCATTTTCTCATACTATAGCAAGAGGTGTGTTCTGCGATCATCAGCAGACGCCTGGCATAGCTGTCTGAGCAATCCTTCACTGTCACAGACGAACATATCTGGGTGTGGACGAGGCGTCTGGTCGTAAAATCTCTCTCTCGATGAACTGCATTCAGATGGGAATGTTTGTGGGGTTTTGTGAAAGGAAATAGCTGCACACTTGTTGTCAAACATAACGAGCACTTGTTCTTTTTAACTTGAGTGTGTCAAGTTGACTTCACCGTTTCTGGTGATGCAGATGCTCAGATCTCAAGCATTTGGTTTGTTTACATGTCATTTCACCGAACTATTATATATGTGTAATGTTTGATTTGATTCGAAACTGGTAGACCTTTTTGGCAAAATGTTGCTCATTTACAAATAAATATATTTTTGGCAATTTTTCCTAGCCATAATATGCAAAACAGAAAAAACGGCCTATCAAAATATGTAAACCAAGAGTTTTTTTTTTTTTTTTTGTGGTGTTGGCTGTTATTTATTTATTTATTTAGAAAGTTTAATAGTTTTTATAATAAAAAAAAATTAACTCCTCTTAATCTGAAGTGTATAATATTTTAGTGTCACCAAACAGAATGGCAAAAACAATGACTATCGGTCCGGCCCTGTGTGCTTTCCAATCAATGTGTAAATTATAGGATGTTTTTTCCACAGGGAACAGGACTGGTGAGGGTACAGTAGCCACAGTGAAGGATACAGTAAGGGCATTTAGTCCATTAATCATGACGCTGCAGACATTTACATGCTGTTGGCCGTCTATGAAAAAAAATCCACACTGAAGGGAGCATTGACAAGTGTCCTTAGAAAAATAATTACTTTCTGTGCCTGGTAACAATCGGCGAGTTTTTCCTTTCATTCCTATGACAAAATAATACAGAACAGACTTGAATTACTTGCTTGTTGATAAAAACTGAATGGCAAATTTCAGGCATAATCTTTTGTCTGCTCAGACTAAGACAAATCAATCGGAACACAACTCAGGTTGTGGTAATCACAGCTGAAGAACTGAAAAGCAATTATACCCGCTAATTACCATTAGAAGAGCTCACTTAAAGGAATGATGTTTCAAAACAACCCATGTGAAAGAACACAGCAGACTTGATGGGGCTTCTTTATCTCTTAAGCATTTAGTTCTACCATTCTTCAAAGTGTCTGCCTCAGCATAGAAGAGCAGTGTGGGACTGAGTTTGGTTTTATTGCTGATGTTAAAGGGATCGTTCAGCCAAAAATGAAATTTGTGTCATCATTTATTTACCCTAAGGTCGTTCCAAACCTATATGATTTCATTTCCTCCATGGAAATGATGGGATAAGAAGGGGAGAATGATATAAAATAAAAGGATATTTTCCACCAAT